CTACAGACCCTGAATTAAGGAATAATGACTGGTGAAAAATAGCCCAATTTAAAAAAAATAAAACCCAAGGGTACGGTACCTATAGCTCATGTTTTAGTCGAAATTGGACAGTCTTTCGACCCTGTCATTTTCCGTTTTGTTTTGTGTTCTGTGACACTCGGATCACAAAATCTATTCACGTTCGCAAATGCCACATAAAACCTACTTTTCCACTTAAATAGTAGGCCTAACTAATTAATTCGTTAGGCATAACTATAGGCTTAATCCTGACAAAAGTCTGCATTAAATGCTATGAAAACGATTTTAAGCAAGGTTGGTCAAACAATCCTTGGGTATACCATAATGAAAGAATATGCGGGAAAATATAACGACGGTAAAAAAAAAATAGCCCAATTATTTAAAAAAAAAAAAATGCTTATAGCTCATGGTTTTGTCCAAGTTTTCGACCCTGTCATTTCCGGTTGTTTTTGTGTATTGCGGCACCTGCGGACCCTAATCACAACAACACTATCATCATATTCGTTATTCGGGCCCGGAACCTCAGAAAATACAATGATATGTCCGTCTCCGGCTGGAATACATTCCTATGATGAATTTTAAAAAATCAAACTAATTGGACTCTGCTCGCTTCCACACTCAAATAATTTGTGGTATACACGCATTTTGGCCTGATTGGCCAGTGTATGCGTCAATGGCCCCAATTGTACTCGATACGATACGACACCAAAACACACCAACACACGACAAAAGACACCAAAAACATTAAGCGTTATACTGTGGCACACTTTACTGTACTTAAGTAAATTAAGAAATGATTCACATTCTCAGAAAAACAATATAAAAAAGTTTTACAATGTTCATAAATAATCAAATAATAAAGTATGCATGATAAAATAAATAATATACGTATAATCGTGTTCAAATTAGAGCAACTCAATAGTTAAAACTTAAAAAAATATAGTTTGTCTTCTTTGAATGTGTCATTTGTTTAGAGTGATATTGTGTGAGTTTTTAATGTGAATGGTGACACTAATCCGGGTATGTACCTTGCGTACCTTGCGATCTCTTCAAGTTCGCTACAATAATGCCCTGAGGATGTTTATTCATAAACAATCCAATAATAAAGTATGCATGATAATAATAAAAAATAAACGTATAATCGTGTTTTATTAGAGCAAATAATTGGTTAGAACTGTTGTCTTCTTTGGAGGTGTCAACGTGTTTAGAGTGATATAGGCCTGTGTGCGACTTTTGAATGTGATGATTATGGTGACATTACAATCTGTCTACCTTGCGGTCTCTTTCGGTTCGCTACGATTAATGCCCTGAAAAAAACTTACAAAAACAAAATAATCACATTAATGATCAAGTGAAAAAGAATTTACATCAGACTTGATATAAAAATCCATTAACAAAATAACCTAAGACATTTTTGGCCTATATTAAAGACCTACGATATTTAAAGATACGATAAAGATGATAAATGTTATAAGATGACAAAAAAGTTATTAGCCTACCGTATGAAAAAATGAGTGGAGACAACAATTGTTCTAACTCAATCGTGACGTCATCACTGCAACTCCGAATGTTATTTTCTTATTTCTATTCGTGCACTAATTTTTGTCATATGCACGGTTTGCTAAATCGTTTTTCTGCTTAATTTAATACAGACCCAAATGTTTTCATACAAATACTAAATCACATGGCAGCATTCTAAATCAAGTTTCAGGAAGTCTATTTCAACCTCACATGCCTCACAAAATTGATGTACGCCCTCACACAGTGGGGCTGAAGTAGATCATAAAAGGTAAGCACTCTGAACACGTATCAGTATCTAATAGAACCCCGTGGCTTAATCTCGACAAGAAGCCCATCTCGAAAAGAAGCCCTCACCAAAAGAATCTTATGGATTTCTTATCGCCTACTTACATTGTAAATGAACGTCAAAGAAACAGAAATAATTAATCAGAAACACTTGGTTTTAATAATAATGTCAGCCTCTCATAAGCTTGCAAAATAAGGTAACCTTGAAAAGAAGCATCTTAAAAAGCCATCCAACTGCCCCCAAAAAATCACCCAAAGAAGCCCATGGGCTCCTATTCGAGATTGTACGATTGTACAAATGAAAGGCCTGATGCAGTACTCTTCTGTGACTTGGAACCACACTTGTATTTTTGGTCTATTTTAAATTGGAGCTATTTAATAGTAGTACAGTACCTTCCTTCATTCAGAGTAGGGGGTAGTGGTAGTCATTTTTTTTTAAGGTTCATATTTAATTTCGAAATTTGCTGTTTTTGGTATTTTCCCATTATATAGACCTACTGTAACAGCACCTATAATTAAATATACTTTCGCTTTAGCAATTTTATATTTTCATATAATATGCATCGAATAAATATCCTTTAGCATACATGATAAATAACATTAATTATGTTAGACTTTTTTCATGTTAAAGTTGACTAAAAAATGCAATATTTCGTGGAAAAATATTTATCAAAATAGGCCTGGCATAGAATCAAACTTGTTGTTGACCCAAATAATATCAAATAGACTTTAGTTTAGCACACAATTGTTATTATAATAACGGATGAGGGGAGATAAATTTATTCAACTGGTTGGAATCTTTAAAGCACTCATTAAATCTAAACGAAATGTATAAAGTAACACGATGAAATATCAAGAATTAATTCTATTTATATTTTATATTCAATATATACTGTACAATGTGTTGTTGTTATCAAAATGACAAAAGATTTTCCCTCTTAGGTAATGGATTATCCCTGGGAAATACTGCATGGGTTATGACCAGTCATATTAGCATAAGTAATGACATACAATGAGAACGAGGTAAGCCAGAGAGAGAAAGGAGTTTGGACTGCCATCTTGTTTTTTCCTGTGGATAATAATTGAGAGCTCTGGTCGTTTCCACGGGGTATTCCCGAGAATTTCAGGAGTTTCACTCGTTGAATATCGATGAAGGTACGTAGTGTGGTATTGGGAAAGATAACTGATATATTTTTAAAGAAAATTTGGAGCTGTTATTTTTGGTAATTTAGGAGGAACGCGGAGAAGGTGGAACGCTTTGTTTCGTGCTTCAATGGATAAGCAGGCTACCAAAACAAGCTTGTCCTCCACAGAAATATTCATTCTACAGTAGGCCTACTTAATCGATTACATACATTGTTAAGTTGTTCAATTGCCTGGTATTTTAGGTAAATACTTGTGTATCTGATGATGTATTTGATTATTTTACTGTATTAATTTGCTAAGTGTTTATTTGAACTTCAGTACTGTAGGCTTAAGTAACGGAAGAACTTTGCAGAATTATGATTGAAACCACAGGCAGTTTCCCACCATGCCCATGCCACCACCAGTTTTTTATGTTTCAGCTAATCTGTGTGTGCAGACTGTAAAGTCAGCTAGGTAGATAGGTTAGGTAGGCCTACAACATCTACTAAGCCTTGTTGTGGTAATGCCTATGTCTGCAGTTAGGCAAGGCTAGGCCTAGGCCTAGGTAGTTCTGGCGTTTTTGGAATCTGGATCTCTAAAAAAAAGTCTAGGCCTAGCCTATTGTAGGCCTAGTTGTTAGCAAGTCTACGCATGAATTTTGTTCAAATGGAAAGTTTGTTTTGCTATAAATTATCGTCGAATCAATCAGCATGAAAGTGCTTTTGCCATCTTCACCTGTGCACACAATTCTTTTTACGATCAGCAACCAGACATTTCAGCGAGTCATAACTTTACTTACTGTAACCCTTCCAAATAAATGTACCTTGATTTTTGGGGCGATCAATGGGTCAATTCCTTAATACCTTTCTAAGGGCCTGTTTCTGTTGAAAAAAAAAAAAATAATATATCATATTTTTCCCCGCTATTTTTGTGGAATTATTCTGGTATTTTGCAACAGATACCGTAATTTTTATACCCCATTTCTGCTGCTTATAAAAAATACCGTATTTTATATAACCCCTAACATGAGGGCAAGAGCCAACAGAGCAGGTTGTGTTTAGATTTTTCTGTCAGCTTGTTCATTGATTATACATGTGGAAAAGCGCAAGTGCTTAATATGGACTAAAAATATAACAATATTTTAAGATAGAACTGTGAGGGGAAACCCGTACTAAATCGTTTCTGGCTGTAGTAGATATTAGGTGTAAAGCTGCCTTTGTTGCAACTTTTAATTATAGACAAAAAAGATTGATAGTAAGAGAGTTTTAATCCAAGGACATAAAAAATCTGTAAAATCTGATTCTTTTTTTTTTCTTTTTTTTTTAATCACATGGTTATCAAGATAGTAATTTTAATATGGAGATACAGTACTGTCTATAAATAATGCAAATTTTTAGACGCAATGGACGCATCCAGTTTCCGTCCTGTTTGAGTCCATGACGCGTTCCTTTCAAGGCCTACACCGTCCAAACATTGTTATTTGGGGCGCACTCGCGTCTACAGTACAGTCAGGAAATATTGCACTTTTACCTGCGCGCAGGCTTCGTAGATACATCGTAGCCTGATATAAACAATCTAACCTGCGCGCAGGCTTCGTAGCCTGATATAAACAATCTAAGCAAGGCTACGCGAAGCGAACCTACGAAGCAAAAGCATGTTGTTTATTTGTATGTGCAGAAAGACTGCTGCAGCTTTACTGGAATAAACAATGTATTGTTTGATAATTTGTGAATGGCAAACACGAGTTTAGACCGTTAATTTAAAGTATGGAACTGTTTTTCAATAAGAAAAACGTACACTTGACTTCATGGGAGTCTCCTCTTCCACTCGCTGTCCACGACAGGAACTTGTGTGTACTGCTGTATTATTTTTTTTAATTAATTAGTCTAGGCCTAGATTATTTTTTACAATTATTTTACCTCATTTAAAATGTCAAAAACGATGTCCTCAATGGCAATACACACATGTGAAAAGATTGCGAACTAAACACAGTTTTAAAACATGATCGATTTAATAATAAGGTAGGATATAACAAAACAATAAAGTTCTAACATTGTTTATTTAGTAAATTGCAACATTGCTTCGTGTTGAAAGCTGGTAAACTATATTTCAATATTGTTTACGCATTGATTATCAGCCCGACGATCCAGCCTACGATCATTGTAAAGCTAATTAAAATAACAATGACCTTCGTAGTGGTTCGTAGCTATGTTCCAAACGGTACCTATGAGCAGGCTACGAGTGGTTACGCGCAGATACGAAGCGATATTTCCTGACTGTACTGTACCTGAAATTGTTTATCAATGTCGATCACGTCAAATTAACAATCCCTATTGAGTTCTGTAGTACACAATGAATGCGTACATGTGTCGTAACAGGGAAACCTATAATTCCGTCAGTTACTTTTGTTTTTTAGCCATATATCATTTGAAAACATCATTTTCCTCCGCTGACTGATGATCAATATTACAATCATAATGACGGTAGCCTAGCATACAAAATGCAGTCGATTTCTGGCTCCGCAGTTGACGATTTATTTAATATTACAGAAGTACTCACATTTTCTCACATTCTTAATGTATAATAAAGTACTAACTGCAATATATTATGTTATGATAAATTATACTCCCAAGTAGTTGGGCCCTGGCTAGTCCTAGTGTAAAAAATAAGGTATTTCAATGCAGAAACAATCGGTGCAGTACGAATCCATGCTGCCGCCATGGTGTCATGAAAACGTGCTACGGCAAGTTCATAGTTCACCAAACTACATGTTCAGACAGGCCGTCCGATGGGTGAAGCTTGATTGGATTCGTCGAAGTTCTTGAGTTGATGCAAATTGTGAAAAAAGTATCAAGTCCTATAATAATTGTAATGTTTGTTCATTCAGCAGTTGAAAATATATGTTTGGGTATTATTTGTTATATTGTGTGTATTTAATTGTAACAATATATCGGTATTAATACATGTAATGAAATGAGAGTATCATTCTTCCATAAAAAACTTGTGTCTTGATCATTTACGGAAATGTTATGTTAATGTTGAAGTCCTAATGCTTATGATGTCTCAATTATTTATAATGATTGACGGTACTTTTAGGCCTACTCTATTTTGTTATGTTCCTAAATTTTCGTTGCTGTTAATTAAAGATTTTTAAGAATATCAATCAATGGATTTATAAGGCGCATAATACAGCTGCCTCTGGTGAATAAAATAGTCATATAAAATAATCAAAGCAATCTGGTGTATTATGATTGTATTCATGATTATGTAATAAAATATAATTTTCGATTGAACTATAATGAGAATTGCGAGATATGCAATACTGATCCACCAATGTGCTTCATTAGATTTTGCCATTACTGTAACTGTATAAGGTATACAAGATTAAGTATTAAAGTGTTGGACGTCACAAGAACAACAGGCTACAGTAGGGTGTGACTGATCGTCAGATTCGGTGCACGACTTGTTGCACTATTGTTGTTATTGATTTTAATTGGGCTCATGTACAGCAGATCGGTGCATAATGATGTACAAAAGAAAAGTAGCAACAGTACAAGATTCTTTTATTGTCACGTAACAAAAAAGTAAAATTTGTATCCCGATACAAAATGAGTAAAAAATTACTAGTATAGACATAAAATAATCGATGGACATAAATAATACAGAATATAAAATTATTGACAAGTGTTTAGTCTATTAAAATCAGCTCTGTACAAAATGATATTCTCAGTCTGTTGTAGAATATTGCACAACTATCAATCCTAAATTTGATGCATCACTTCGAAGGGAATGATGTTTTATTATGAACCCAATTTAACCAGCCTTTCTGTGTCCCTGATACTGTAGCATTCACCACACACAAAATACGCTAGGTCGTCTTTGAAGAATTCGGCCTATGGCTGTATTAGTTAATAGTCTTCAATTATAGACATCTTATTTTGTCCAACTGAACTATTATATGATGGCTGTGTGCACAGGGTCTTTGAATTTGTCTGGTATTTATAGACTAGAGCAGTGCCAAAGAGACCATGTGCCACAGGTGTCCCAGGCGGCTGGATGCTGGTATGATATCGTGCTAAAATAAACAATACACTAATAAAAGTGAATAAAAAGTATAGCTGCGTTAGTCTGTACAGTATAGAACAATATAAAGTAAATGACAGCAGCACTTTTGAGACTAACAATATAGAATTTATTCTCTGGCTTTTGTCCACACAGTGGACTTCATCAGGAAACTCTGAAATGACAGTCTCCTGATGAAGTCCACTGTGTGGACGAAAGCTAGAGAATAAATTCTATATTGTTAGTCTCAAAAGTGTTGCTGTCATTTACTTTATATTGTTCTATACTAATAAAAGTGTAGGCCTACTGTACTTCTGCCTCTTAATTTTGTAAGCTGAAACTGACAATTACAGCAGGGTTGTAGTTATGGTGGGCGTAGGTACCGTATTTACCAATATTGTGACCCACCTACAGTACTGTACCCACCCTTAAAATGTTTATCACCCACCTTTAGTTTTTTACTGTACTGTACAGCTACAACCATGTAAACAGGTACAGTATTACATAATTATAACTTATTCTGCTAATGCCATCAAACAAACAAACAACAAACATGTCTACAATAATTTGGGATATCAATCAGATGTAAATTAATTTTTTAACGTTGCATTTCCGCCCGATTTGCCTAAATGCTATAACACAACATGTCTTTTAAAGTGGTATTTTGTCAGAGAAGAAGATTACTGTAATGTAAATGCTGTCATAAGCGCCGCTCTCTCATAAGCGCCATTCTCGAATAAGCGCAGCAACAAACCTGATTTTTTTTAGCTAAGCTCCGCTCTCGAATATGTGCCGCAGCACTTAATTGAGGGTATATTATTATCATGTGTGTAATAAAATACTTTGAGAAACAGGGTTTTAAATACAATGTATATAGTGTTAAAATGAATAAATAACACAATGAAGACAAGCACTTCTTTATGTTTATGTACGATGACGTACTGTAGGACCTATGATAGGCCTACTAAACTGAGAATACATGAGATAGGTAACATGGGAACTGGAATGGAAAGACCCACACCAATAATATTTTTATAAGCACCGCTCTCGAAATGTGCGCCGCCCTGAAGGCTCCAAAAATGTTATACTGTAAGCGCTACAGCGCTTATTTTCGAGCATTTACGGTATTCCATCAGGAATTACTGGCTCTGTGACTCATTTGTTTGTTGTTTTTTTGTGGGGATCTCATCTGTATGATGGTATGATTGTTCAGAGTTTGCTGCCTTAATATAATTATTACTTCCTGCATCTAGGTTAATTTCTTCTTTCTGTGTTAAGCTTATAAACGAGTTTAGCTTTCTTGCTTGATAAATAATAGCATACTTGCAAGGAGCTGAATCTATGGATTATGTTTAAAATAACATGTGTATACTGTAATTGCCAGGTCTGCTGATTGTACTTGGTCTTAGTAAGCTAACAGAAGCTGTTTTTCTACATTTGCCTTGATATTCCTCATTTTCAGTTGCACACTACAACATTTTTTGGCAAGATTATCCATAAAGAAATTTACTGGCTGAGTTCCTGGTATATTTTAAGCTTTTGTGTTACAACTTCTGACTTGCAGTATGAATAATATCAACACAAATAATTGAGGCATGTTTTGGCAAAATGGTCAAGTTGTCGCACAGGCCAGTATTGAGTAAATGAGCTATAAAATATAGGGGTTAAAAAAATTGGCATAAAAATTCAATTCTTTTTTTACTATAGATCAACTGTTTACTGTCTAATTAAATCGTGTCCCAAAGTCTAAGCTCTGAAAATAGTCAACAAATAGTTTTTAATGTTATTTTGGTAGTTATTTCTATTAAACAATCTATGCACCAATAACTTTGAATGGCTATTACTCAAAATCTATGTTTTATCTTGACTCTAAGAGTGCTGTGCATTCACTTCTCAATAACTAAGGCTTGAAATGTCTAATTTCAATGAATGACCCCTCATTTTAAAGATTACATACTCATGTATCAATACCATTACCAGAAAATGAATTTTAATTTTGCGACAACTTAGCCATTTTGCTGCTACATGCCTCAGTTGTTGAAAAGGTTTCATCATCGACGATATTTTGTGGCTGCTTACTGTAGACATCATTCTAAAAATAAGAATGTGGATATTGGTGTTTTTGGAACTCTTAATACTATGTATTTTACTTTTCAAATTTGATTGATGGCATTGTCATCAATGCTTAGTGCATCAGTTGGTGTTAATTTGCCTTCCACACCAGCCTGACCAAAGAATACAGTACACAGGAGTACTTCACAAGTTGACAACAGTGCTATTTTTGCTGCTGTGTCATCAAACACAATGTAACATACTGTAGCTCATAATTAGACTGTGTGTACACATTACTGTATCTTTAGTATCTATAGTTAGGTACGGATGGGAATTGATTGGATTTTACTCTCAGATAGACACGAACCACCAAATGTGAATGCCTTTCTGATTAATTTTCAGTGAAGTAGATCTGAATTGTATTTTAAATTTTTCATTTTTTGTAAATTAAGAAAATATTAAAAGAAAAAATGTATTATGATCTCCACAAAAGAAAATAAAATTATTCTGATCTAAAAAAATAATCATTCATTTTGTGTTTTCAGAAAGCTATATATTACTTACTTGGAGAATTGAAAAATATTAATTTGATTAGGAAAATATAAATTTTTCTTGATTGATTAAGGTTCTTGGCATATATTTATCTTCCTTGGTTTAGAAATTAAAAGAGGAATGCCTAAGGAGAAGTACGAAAGCAGCAAAGAGAGAAGACAGCATCGCATACTCACCCCGGAGGAGGTAGCAGCGGGGAAGAAAACAAAATGGGAGGCTCTGGAGATTACGGGAACCATACGGAACGTTAGTCCCAGGTTATGGAATTTAAACCATCTAACAGCACTGTACCTCAACGACAACTGTCTCCAGCGCGTTCCTGCCGAGATTTGTCACCTTACAAATCTCCTTTATTTGGATTTATCTGCCAATAAGTTGAGAAGTTTACCTGCAGAACTTGGTGACATGGTATCACTCAGGTGAGAAAATGCAATGTTTGTATTATTATTGCACTATAAAGATCCATACTGCTCCATTCAACTTGGCTCCGCCTTGTTGAATGCAACTTGGCTCCGCCTTGTTGAATGCAACTTGGCTCCGCCTTGTTGAATGCAACAGTCAATCTTTCAACTCAAATGTTCGTCCCATTGCACTCATAAACATTCATTATTTGTACAACATCAAAGATGGGCAAAGTGCGGCCTGTGGCTCTCAAAAATGAATAGAAATCCTGTTTGTGTGCGGCCTGCCAACTATCTTTGGCTAGAAAATATCTTTGTTGTAAAAATTATTAAAATGGAGCATAAAGCGGTATAAAACTTGCAGTGCATCAAAGTTTTGGTGCGGTCCTCAGTGTTAAATCAAAAATTTACTTTGGCCCTCCAACACATTTTTATGCCCACCCATGATTTACGGTATGATGAGGTTCTGTGTAGGCCCTTGCTTCGGGCAAAGATAGTACTGCACTAGGAACAACTGTATTGCCAGCTAGGCACCTACTGTAGCACACATATATGGACTTTAAGCAAATAAGGAACTACACCAAGGAAATTACCTAGCTCAGTAGAGTGTCATTAGCAATATTACCCCTCACATTCACAATTGAATGAGTTTTTCACCTGATAAGTAGCACACACAGTGGTTTGCCAGGTGAGTCAATATGGATCCTTTGTCTGTGATTTACCTGCATAGGTTATTGATAGTCTCTCAGATGAATGGATTATTAGTCTTTGTTGTTGTTTAAAACGATAACACACTAGATATTGTAGGTTCAATCAGGTGTGTACTAATGGAATTTTTGTTCATTTACCTATATAGAATAAGATCCTATCATGACTCAGTTGAATGATTATGGGGCTGTACATTATATGGAATAATATTTTATGAGATAATATTATATTGTTGTATTATATTCTATCTGGATAAACCAACTTCATGTTCATTTTCCCATGCAATGAATTCCCTAGATAGAGAGATGAGATTAAATCCATTCATTATTTGTAAATACTGTTATTGTTAATTGATTTATGGGTAGCAACCTAGGGGTCATGTTGGGTCATGGTCAAAATTTTGATGGTTGTGAGATCGCATAATCTGAGTCTTAAGAAAAAATGATTTAATATTTCAAAATCTAAATATTTCTGTGAAAACATCGAATCAAACCTTGATATTGTAATGACTGTATAATGAAGTGACTATTTCTTCAAATTTGTGTTTGATAATTTGATCAAACTTACCTGCGCACTCATGGTGTACCCTTATTACTCGTAATAGAGGGTCGTAATAGAGGGATTCGGGATGTTGGTTACAGCTAGTCACGTCACCTACGGTGGGTGTACCATGAATAACATTACAGTACAGATCAGTGTGAAAATATAGGAAAAGGTAATGTTATGGTTTCTGAAACAACCACCCACTGTTAATGTGAGAAATAAACGGCAAGGAAAGGCAATACGATTGTTCAAAATAGTATTTATTTACTTATTCTAGCGTTTTCCTTGCATTGTCTGCGGTTCTAAGACTCTCGTGCATACCTAAACAGGCCGTAGATATGCAGGAGCCTAGGCCTAACATTTGTCGAAAGATCTTGAATTCTCTTGGACGACAAATCACACAAAGATTGTTTGGTGAATTTCAGGACATCAGTAATCGACTTAAAGTAACTTAAATTACGTTCAAAAGAACAAATACAGCAATTATGATTACCTTTACAGCAATAACATGGAACAGCCGCCATAGCAATCTCTACTGTGCCAGTCCATCGTTTGCATCCAACATTGTCAATCCTTGTCATTATCAACGCTCAAGAATAATACCACCGCACCACAAGGGAAGGGGTATTTTTACCAGTATTATTGAACATCCAAGCCTATTTTTATATGCAGTGCTCATCATTGCACAAATATTTCTTTCCAAGGGAAGTCTAATACTGTATAAAGCAGGCTAATATTGTCTTCATGTATAATAAGGGCAAATACAGTTAGGAATTATTGGCCAGAAGGAATGCTCATAATGGAGAATTTGAGGTCTTTAAAAAACAGCAATTTTTTGGAAGAAGAACCAGAGTTTATCAAAAGTATAGTACTGTGAACGTATTTGCAGGTGCTCTCTATACACAGGCATACAGTGTATTGTTCAAATAAATAAATAAAGACAATTGTAATCAAATTGCTGGGTTCTTGTGCTACAAGACACTATAAACAGTATTTTGATATTATGCTGACATACAGTATCTGGTATTTGAGACAACATTTAAAGGGTGGGGTAACTGGAAGCCTTGGGTTGTGGGAAGGTTTGTCAATTTATTGTGGATCCTAGGAGAGTTAAAAGGTTGTTGATCGTAGGTTTACAGTATATGATGTCAATGGTAATTGTTATTTATTTTCAAACCGATACAGTAGATATAAAAAGTGTTTTTCACCAGATAATTTTGGCTTCATAAAAAAGTAACATTGATTATGGTAGCATATTTACTGTAAATATAACTATAATATGAATTAAATATTTCACCTTTGTAAAGATCCCATCACATTTTTTAGCATAGATGTGCATTTCATGCACAATAGCCAATGTTTGTATAGCTTTATGGCTTAATCAATTTTTTAACAATAACTACTGTGTTGTCTGTTTCATATACAGTACTGGTAAATACAATGGTGATATTTGTTCACTGATAGTGCATGCATGTTATATTATCAAATGTAATTATGTGGCATATTGTGAATGATGAGTGGGGTATTGCTAAACCCCGCAAACCTCCAAAAAACACCGCAAACCCCATCCAAACCCTGTGATAATGATTGAATCACATAGTATAGGACTCAATTTGGTATCTCAAAAAAAATCATAATTTTATGTTTGTCACAACCTATTTTTGGGGTAAAGAGGCCATTTTTTGTATAAAAAATTTCTAAACCCTGCCAACCTCCCAAAACACACTGCAAACCCCATCCAAGCCCTGTGATAGTGATTGAATCATGTAGTATAGGACTTAGTAAATAAAATTTAAAAAAATAAAAAAATTTTATGTTCATAACAACCTATTTTGGGGTAAAATCTTGATTTTTTGTTGAAAATACCTAAAAAAACACAGCAAACCTCCAAAAACACAGTTGCAAACCCCATCCAAACCTTGTGATAGTGATTGAATCATGTAGTTTTTTGGGTAAAAAAAATGTTAATGTTCCATTCGTAACAACCTACTTTTGGGGTAAAAAAATGTCATTTTTTGTATAAAAACATTGCTAAACCCCGCAAACAACATCCAAACCCTGTGATAGCGATTGAATCACATAGTATAGGACTCAACTTGGAATCAAATAACCAAGTGGTAAGGCAGGAATGCCACTAAATTCACTGTAGCCTGGAAATTCAGAGCTGGTCTGGTTGTGAAGAATACTATGCATTTTGAATTAAAAAAAAGTCTTCCTAGATAAGGACTTAAATCTGGTCCAGTGTACAATTTGTTTTCTATTTGGATGGGCCATAGTATTATTTTGTTATTGAAAGTATATCTTGGTAGTTTAAGCGGATTATAATACTATGCCCCTCTATCATCACTGTTGATTTGGCAATAAGCCATTAGGTGGAAGCTTTAAGTAGTATTTCTATGTCAAAGGTCAAGTTATAAACAAACACAAATTTGTTGTTAATATTGGGAAGTTAAACAACTGAAGTGATAGTAATGATGATTAAATTCTAGAATTAAAATTTCATCTGAAGTGATTATTACACATGAAAACTAATTGGATTAAAATATAATTAGTTAGTTCCCTGGGTACAGTTCTATTCAATATTTTAGGATTGAAAACTTATTAATTAAAATGTATCCCTTAATTATTTAGTGAATGCAGCTATATAAAGTACATAAATGTTTTCCATGTATGTATATAAATCTGGAAATTATTATTGTTGGTGTTCAAGAATGTTTAAAGATTTTTTGATGCAAAAAAAATAAATAACAGGTAAACAAAATGTGTTTATATATTGAATTCTAGGATAATCTTGGAAGATTAGTAAGCTATATGTTAATAATAAACGACCTTAAGAGCCATGTAATTTTTTACGATTTTAAGCAAAACATGCATTATATGTCAAGGGCAGTGCAAGTAGTGGTTGACCTCAATGAGGATTCCAACTGCTATTAACTACTACTTGGCTACAATACTATAATTGTTAAAAATCCTCAATTGTTTGTATCATTCCACCTCTTTTTATATACAAGGATGTACAAATTTTGCTTTGTACTGTGTATAATAATATTTGTTTTGTTTAGAGCTGAGTGCAAGTTTTTATCTTGTTGCAATACAGTATCATACAATAGTCATTTTCATTGTTCACTAGTTTAAATTATGAAACAAAAGAATAATAAAACTTTACTACACTAAACGCATTACAATGTAACAACATTTTTAATTCATTAAGTTCTGTAAGCCAGTGGCTACTATCACAGAACATGTAATGAGAAACACCAGAGCTGTCATTTCTACTTTACGATTAAAGTTACAGTATATCATGCATTTCACATAATATGCAAAAATAAAATGGCAATAGAACAAAGTCTATACAAGGCATGATAGTTGTCTTATTTATGGAAAGGGTTTTTTTTTTTTTTTTTTTTTTTTTTTTTTGGGCCAGGAATGCTATTTCTGCCAACATAAACATATCTCATTAATGATCAGTAATGCATAAACCACAGATAATCCCGTTCACAGGGTGTGTTTCCACTCTTTGTATTCTTCATAAATATTTCATTTTTATGATCATAAAAACTGTGTTACTATTACAGTGTATACAGCAAGAATTTGTTAAGTAAAATTTATTTTTTTAAATTTTATTATTGGACACGTTCCTGATATGGCCAGTAGAAATTTGCCTATGTGTCCTTGGAAAAATAGTCCACTTGATATTACCTATACATCCATTTATAGCCCACAGATGTATGGATAAATCATACAAGTAGTTATTTTTTACTTTTAATAGCTTTTCTTGGCTAATAGTATTACCTTTATTATTTCACTATGATATACTTATTTTTAATAACTTTTCTTGGCTAATACCTGTAGTATTACCTTTATTATTTTACTATGATGTATTATTGTGGAGTTTATTCTAAAAAGTGTAGGTTTATTCAAATTTAAAAACGCTGTTGTTAAAATTCCAGCCTGAATCCTCGATTCAGAAATACAGCAGGTTAACTTATTTTATATCGTATCCTTTCTATTTTAGTGTCATTGTTTTTATTGTGAACCTTGGAAAACAAATTTATTTCATTTACTTTGTATATGACAATAAATTGAACTTATGTCCCATTAGGCAATATATAAATACGGTTTTATTATTTAAATATTACTTTTCTTTTTAAATGACTTGATGAATGAATACAATTTTTCTTTGTTTCTTTTAGGGAACTGTTGTTGAACCACAATTATTTACGAGCATTGCCTTTGGAACTAGGACGTTTATTTCAGTTAATTATGCTGGGTTTGAAAGGCAATCCTCTGCCCAATGAGGTGCTGAGTATTTATGAAGATGGAAATGGTACACAGCGACTTCTTACGCAATTATTAGACAGTCTGCATGCTGGATGTAAGTTCACTAGTCTTTTTATCAGGTTCTTATCAGTTGTAGATCCATAAATTTGAAATAGAGAGGGGGCCATAGCCCTAAGGAGAGGCTTTTACAGATGGACGGTCTACACTAACTTAGCCCACCATGGTTGGGACTGAGGTACGAAATTCTATGGATATAGCCCATCTAGATGCTGGAATTTTGCCATTGTATTAGACCCTAAATTATTTTATCAATTTCCTCATTTTTTTTTTTTTTTTTCAAAAATGTAGAGGGGTGCGGCTCTATGATAACATTCTGACCACTTTGGTTGTATGTCTACACAAACTGAACACAGTACCGTATTTTCAACTTAAAATTCTATTCCCCACAATTGTTTTATATACATAAGTTGTATCCAGTAGATCGACTGTGCATTTGATTGTTACAGACATAATTATGCATATGGAAGTATGATATTCTACCTAACTACTCCTAGGCCAGCTTTTGGCACCGACCCACTCATTCAGTGACTTTTTGCACAACTAGTTTACATGCTGGATGTAAATTTACTATGTCAGTAGTGGGTTTATTCTGACTGACTGACTCCATAATACTCTTTAAATTATAAGTAATTGCAAAATTATACCATTTAGTAAATCCTATGCCCACTCACCTTCTAATTGATGTGGGAACAAAATCCCTAAGTTGCCCATAATGTGTGTGTGTTCATACTACTATACTGTACAAGCCAAAAATCTATTGCTAGTTAAAAACTATTGCTAGTTTCACACGCTCACCCTCATCAAATTTTGGAGCCTACTGTAAGTATTTTTTTTTAATGGAAAATAAAAATAACAATATGAAAGATTGTCATCAAAGCCTAAGAAGAATGCAGAAATATACATTTTACTAAATTTTTTAAAAAGTAATTTTTATTTTGCCAGATAGTATACTACTATTTACACTTACTGTATGATATAGTAATTAGTAAATACCCTCTAGCCAAAAATACAGTAAAAATGAAATTAACAATAAATTTAGTTGGCCTAAATTAAGAACCTAAAAAATGTTAAGAAAATTCCTAGAAAACCCCATGCCAGGTGACCGTGAAATGGTAATTAATATAAAATAATTATAATGATTAGAATTGACACAAGGAATCAACTGTCAGTAGAACATTTTACATGGTGACTATAAATATCATGGAATAGTTAAATTGTCATGTAAGTAGGCCTAAAGCGAGACTTATTTTATACAGTGCCTTGTAGAAGCGGTTGGCGCATTGTTTGTGGCTTGGACTCCCAACCTCGAAGTCGGGGGTTCGAAACTCTCACTGTGCAAATCGCTTGTGTCTTTGGGCAAGGCACTTTATCGACGGTTGCCTCTCTCCACCCAGGAGCACAATTGGGTACCTGGTAGGTTCTAACACAACTGCACTGATTACTAGCCACAATATTTACAAGGACAATGGATGTCTTATAAAATTCTGAAAAACCTAAAACAGAATATAAAAAAAGAAGTTTAACTTACCATGGTGCTAAATTATGGAATAATTTAAATGATGAGTATAGAAATTCAGCAAATATTATAAATTTAAAGAAAACATTTTAATCTAATCTAACTTCTGATATTAAATTAATCAATTATGTATATTAAATTAATTAATGTATATGTTTTTGATTTATTTTAAACTAAAGATACTACTGTATTTAATTTCACATTTTAATCACATTTATTACTTAATCAAATTCTTTAATGTTTATACTTTTGTTATGTATTTTGTATTTTACCACTTATGGCCTTGCACGGCCTTGATGAAAAACACATTTGGGTGATCAAGTTTTCCGTGTTTAAATAAAGTAATTATTATTATTATTATTATTGTTATTATTATTATTATTATTATTATTATATTATGGAATAATAATATAATTTAACTTAATAATTTAATTTGGTGTTCAACGTGTTCCATATGTGTTTTATCCAATGACCGGGATAGTAATGTGAATTGCTTAGAGGCTTTGTTAAGGCATTAAGCGCTATATAAGAACGACATATTATTATTATTATTATTTCACAAACTTACATTTTTAAAGATCGTCAAGGGAAGGTGGAAAAAAATAAATTAAAATTTTGTTTTCTCATTTAGCAAATAGTTTTGCCAAAAACATCCAGATGAAGAAAAATATTATAATATAGAATTTTATTGGTGAATGTAAGCAGTGTAGTAATGGGATGGTTAAACGCTTTAAATTATTATCATATAACCAGGAAGAAATATACCTTATTTTTGGACAGCGATGGGACATGATAAAAATAAAGAAAAACTGAAATTTATACACCATTTTCATGAAATTTGAAATAAAAATTTCCGATAACCTGGCGACTACCACTCGGGGACTTTCAGAGGCCTAGCATTTCGCTCTACATACTCACCATCATGGGTTAAATCAACGATTAAACTGAATTACTTACGAGTACAAATATTTTAAAACGGAAAAAAATATGAAATATTTACATTAAAAAGAAGTCTAAATCGTAAAAATCTATTTCAATGTTTACATATACAGTAATTAGCAAGAACGTATGTTGTCTGCTGCTGCTATAGCAAAGGTCCCTCCGTGAGTTGCGAGTCGTTGGTGGCGCTGTTTCAAAATAAACCCCATGAAATGGTCTATAACTTCATGAAATTTCCATGTTTTTGTGATTCTGGTGCTCTAATTAGCCAAAAGTAAAATTCTAGTTTTATTTGAAATCATCATTATTGGCTGTTTGGCTAAACAAGGTATAATCAATGTCTCTCCTAATGGTGAATTAATATAAATGTGGTTTAGGTTTCATTCTTACTTTGAAAGAGGATAATAAAAATTGATAATTGCAGTTATAATAGGTTTGTTTGTATGAAAGGTAGTTGCTTTGCCTTCAACCATAAAATCAAGGTGTTATGGTTGTTTTCGAATACAAAGGGCAAAGTTTGTTGACCTAGTTTAAACTTTGCTACTAACAGTTCATCCTGAGCAAAGGGTGTTGATGTTCTGTAGTAACTTGCAAATCCAATAACTGCAGACAATGTCATGTGGATGTGGTTTAGGCTCTGAAGGTCAAATGCAAACAACAGCTACTTAAAGTGTAATGCATTCATCACATTAATTTATTTTGGATGATAACAAAAAAGATGTCCAGTTACAAATTTCATATTCAGAAGACCTCAACCAATCCAATAGCATTCAGTTTTCCATATTTTTTGTGTTTGGTAATTGTTTGTACACAGGTCCCTCGTCATATTATGCAGTCTTTTAACGCCAACATAATGTCAATGGCTGCCGAATGTCTGAAATCAGACGCCTATAAGTATTAGTACCAGTACTGGTAATCCACTAATCATGCAATTTGGGATTGAGGATATTTTTTATTCTTTTAATTGCAAAGCAATATACAGTTAATATTAAACATTAAGTAATACAGTTACCTGTACAATTCAACTCAGTTCAACTTTGTAATCCACTAATCATGCAATTTGGGATTGAGGATATTTTTTATTCTTTTAATTGCAAAGCAATATACAGTTAACATTAAACATTAAGTAATACAGTTACCTGTACAATTCAACTCAGTTCAACTTTGATTTCGGAATTTGTCTATTCATACTACAGTACTTATATAAAGTACTGTAAAGAGAAACATAACAGTATAGCAATGCCATACAATAACATCTCCAATTACGTAGGTCTAGGCCTATGCTACATAGTAGCTACTGTAGGCCTAGTTATATCATGTAGGCCAAAGCCTTTCTTGGGAGCAAATTTTTTGTAACAAAATGACTTGGATTTTACTGTTTTCTGCAACAAAATAATCCTGTACGGAAGCCAAAATTATCTGTATTCGGTGACACTGGAGAAGTATTTATTTGAAGTGATATCTGAATGAAAACATGACCATTAATAGCAAAAACAAATGTTGTTATTCTCTTCATAATGATTGCAAATCCATTAGAATAGCACCTCCCCGTTGTTATAGAATAACAAAGTACTGTGCATTAATGTGGTGTCAGGGTTCGGTATCTGGTTAGAGGGTTAACTTTGTATTAAAAGATTGAAAATTGTTAGTTATTTCTTTGAAAAAGACCTCAGAATTAGAGGTGTCACGAATTTGGAGGGTGAAACGTACGAGATTATGTGAATATGACATCATCATGCTTGTACAGTATGTGATTGTTGAAATACGTTCTACTTCAACTTTATTTTCCCAATAACTATAAATAATCTTAAATGCAAATAAATACATAAAACAATATAGGACGGAGCTGGAAAATAGTGTAAACACTAATCAAGTCCAACCCCTTACAGACAAAACAATTGCATTATTTAATGTATAGGGCATACTTATGAGGCCCATACATATGAGTGCAATACACATTATACTGTATTATTGTATGATGTATGATTTTTTTCTGTTTCATTTCAGCTCCCAATGTGATGCCCCCTGTCAGGCCGTGGCTTCACCTCGCACATCCTGAACGATCGAAACCTGCAGGTAATGATAGTTAAGCCTGGTTTTCTTGAGAAAAAAAATCACTACACTGTCGCTACAGTGTTTTCAGTACAATCGTTGTACTGTGTACAGTCTTCAACGCAATCGGGAAGCCTTCCAGATTCGACCGTCCAATCAGCGTCAGCAAAAGAAAGAAGCTTTGTTCATAGCCAACTTCAATTTTTCTCCTAACAGAAAAAATAAACTCATCTATGGAATTTAAAAATAATAACTTGTATAATAAAAATGTAAATCATATTCGGTACTAAAAAATAGAGTACATGATACTACTATAATACATTTATATGCATGGATGGTTTTACATCAAGGACATCTTTTTAAATATAAAATTTATAAAAAGTTTAAAGGAAATTATACGTACTTAAATCAAATTTAGTAAAAAAAAAAAAATTGATTTCGGTTTTGTATTGTATTCTTCTGAAACTTTTGAAATATTGAGGATGTCGTAAATCTTATTTCAAGACATTTGCCATTCTAAAAAACAGTTTGAAAGAGGTTGAAACGCATTTATTCATTCCACTGTTCATACATGTTTTATTTATGTTGATGTCCTTGATTGCTAAACATGAATATATACACTATTGGAAATTCACTGGACAGATCAGGTTTAGTGATTGATTGACATTATTGAAGTTGTAAAAAAAAAAAATGCTAAATATCGTTTACAAGCTTATGAAGCCCGCCCACCCTCTAATTTAAACTTTAAAAAAAAAAGGAACAATCTTTGAATTAAAACTAAAATTGAATTTTATGCATGAATAGTCCATGAAAATAATTTAAAGATCATTTATTTTCATTCAATGGCATTTGTTATTTCATGTAGTTTACCTTGTAGGGAGGGTCCACTTACTTTATTGGGATAGCACAACTTAAGAACATTGGCCCTTCAATTTGAGAGAGTCCACATTTAGGACCTAAATATTTCTGGTGGAGTTAGTGGTTGGTCTCCAGTTACGGGGATTGTCACAGAAATTGAAGAGTGTTGAATTAGATGGCGAACTGTATTAAGTCATTTATTTGCATAAATGAAAATAAATGAAATAAACAGCAAAAGTTAAAAATAAAAAAAAAAAAACCGAAGAAAAAACGATGGAAAGGGAGATATTAAATTAACTGAACAAAACTGTTGAATTTTGATTTTTCTTTTTAGCAATTTACTCGCTGATGTGTTACAATGTCCTATGCGATAAATATGCTACAAGGCAATTATACGGCTACTGTCCATCATGGGCTCTAGACTGGGAGTATCGCAGAAAAGGCATCATGGATGAAATCATTAACAATAGTGCTGATATAATATGCCTTCAGGTATGTATATTTTCTCTATTTTTTTTGTGTTTTTATGTTACGCACACTTACCTACTGTCTCAATATGTGTAGGGTAATGATTGTGCTACATGTAATTTCACATGGCTTGATATTACAGATATGTGTGAAGACTTCATAATTAATTCTTCTATGACTACTTGCAAAAGAAATATCCTTGTCTTTCTACTCCGCAATTGGTTGAAACGCTTTTAATTTGTGATTTCTACAACACAATTTAGTCTACATTATTCCACTGTTCTGAGAATCCAACGTCAGTCTCAAACATTTCTGAATAGCCCATGTTTTAACGGTTGACTCAAAATATCATGGTTGCTATAATACTAAATTATGAACAATTCTCAGCTGTTACATGCATCATTTGTAAATGTAAACCTATGTTTCCTTATCCCCCTGAGCATGTGCAGTACTAACATTCAATGTGTTTATTGTTCTGATTACTGAACATATACCTTAAGGAAAATCTATTGTTCTTTTATCTTCATAATGTTAAATTCTGTACATACAGCATATTAATTTATGTGAAAGTATTGTTTATTGCTTTGACTCCCATTTCAAATCTAGATCATTTTGGTTGTTTTCTTTCAATTAATGTATTGGTCATGCCTGACAACATGGTACATACACAAAGAACATTTTTTTTTATTGCTTTTATAGTCTTGCATTAAAGTCAGCATTAAGCTTTATTTATAATATGATAATGTAATCTTGAGAAAGTAGATGACATTAACATAGGGTAAAATGAGGAAGACTCAGTTGCTATTGAAATTAAAAGCTGTTTAAAAAAATAAAAAAAAATCTGTTGTATAACTGATTTTTATAAGAGTAAGACACAAACATGATGTTTAATGAAAATGGGAACGGTTAATAATGAGATTTTTGAACATTATTTTTGTGTCCAAGACTAATCAGTTGTACATAATATTTAAAAAAAAATAAATAAATAAAACATTTCCAGAGCCAGGCTTCAATTTCATGACAATGTGAAAAAAAAAATAAAATTCCCTCTACATATTTATATAAGAAGGATAACGACTAATAAAATAATAATTTTATTAGTGGTGATTATTATTATTAAAATATAGCTGTAACTTGTTAATATGAAGTCAGCTGATTCAAATCATACCCTGCAGCAAGGATCCAGTAGGGAGCACATGCCCCCGTGCTCCCTCCCTCCCCCTTTTTCCCGCTAAATTTTAAAATTTCAATGCATATTAGTGTTATGTATTGAAATAAGCGCTACTTCCTCTGGAAATGTGCCCTAGAAAATGAACTTATAAAATAATATCAGCCGAAAGAAAGTGTTAGAGCTTGTGTAGTACTTCCTGTATGCTACAATTTTGTAGGAAACATATAACAGGAATTTTTAATGTTGTTATTATTCGAACTAATAAGTTAGTTAATAATAGTTGCATATCATACATTAGTGGAAATAATTGTACAAGAATTAAATTTGATTAATGCATGAAAATAAAATCCTGAGGTCTGAAAGAATTTTTTTAATGCATGAATCTAATAACTTCCTCTAGTCTGATGATGAAATATAATAATATATAATTCTTATATGTAGGAGGTTGAAACGGACCAATACTTCAACTTCTTTCTGCTTCAATTGAAGCAGCATGGGTACGATGGAGTGTTTAGCCCGAAGTCAAGAGCAAAAACAATGGGAGAGCATGAACGCAAGCATGTTGATGGGTGCGCCATCTTCTTCAGAACAAGCAAGTAAGTTCATATTTAACGTCTCTACCTCTGCTGCTAACTACATTAATATGAGGCGTGTTGTAGCAAAAATTAAATTCAATTTATTGGTATTAGCTTTTTGGCTATTTTTGAATTAAAATATTTAGCAAAATTCAAGTTTTATTAGGATTTGGCTATTTGGCTAATGACAGCTGGGTATGTAATTGGGAGATGTTACTGTATAATAATTATTTTGATTTTTAAGCATTTTTTTCAAGTATACTAAGTACTGGCAACAACATTTTTCCATGACATGCTTCCTATATGATTAATTAAATTAAAAGATGGAAGAAATAATACTTTTTTTGTATCCAGCACCAAGTAATTCACCTAATTACAGAATGAAATGGTGTTTTGGATTATGAGACTTAGACTAGAGTTGTTTTTAGTCATATGAAAAAACATCCTTGATTATCAATTATTTGATTCTAGGACCCTGGGATTTGGAAGCAAGCTGCGTAACCACAAAGTCATAGTTGCAGTGTACAAATAACAATCATGTGCAATCATTCTTTATTGATATTCATAAAAAATACAAAAGAAAATTAAATTTACTCAAGCTCCAACGTAACTGGAATGAACAGCCTACGCAGGCAAAATATCAACTGAAAACGTATCATGAATTTGATTAAAATCTAATAAAAATTATAATCCTGTAAAATTATAATCTTGTCAGGGATGTAGTTATGGTAGGTGGGGGTGGGCGAGGTGGGGGCCACCCAGCCTTGAAGTTTTCCACCCATTCTAAAGCTAATTTCATGGCCCTCTACTCACCCTTAATTAACCTACTTTACCATCCTAGAAATTCACTCTTAGTTAGATTTTACCAATGTTTTATCACCTGCCCACCCTTGAAATGTCATCTCCCACCCAAGGTTTTCTACAGCTACAACCCTGTCCTGAAACAAGTACATTTTTTGTAATAAAAAAAAAACAGTTATGTGGAGATTATACAAATTTATAATGTGAGGTGTGGAGTTCTATTTAGTGGTTAAGATCCCAGGGACCTGGTTTTAATTTGTGTCACAGCAAGACTTTTCCAAATGGAAATCAGACAAAAACCACCCTGAACAATAGCCACCCTGACAGAAACCACCCAAAATAGACTATACCATTGTGGAAATGGGATGGGGGATGGGCTGTTGGGTGGAAGTTCAAATATAAAATTTAAAGATTGGAAGTTAAGTGTTGTGTTAAAACCATTAAAAAAAGACGAACTTTAAGCACAGTGATTTTTGAAATCTACAATGATTATTAACCTACCTAAAACAAGTTGTCAAAAGAGTTAAATGAATTAAAGGCATACTATCCCAGTGTTCTCCCCAGGATGAGGGTCAAGCATCACGGTACCTGGCCCACCTTCATTGCCTAGGCCTAATTGTTTAAACACAAACACGATCACGTTGTGACTTTGCTGTCAAGAGAAGTACATGTGGTGAGAGGGAAATCCAGATAGATCGCTTTAGGAATGCTCATGGGCAGTTTTGAAGCAAACAGTTTGTGTGAATCAAGCTAACGATTTTGTTTTTAAATGAAAGTGACATTTCTCAAGGTAAAGATAACGCAAAGATGAACACAAAAAGATCAAGCATGAACTTGGGCTGATAAACCAACATCGTAAGATAGCGTTGTTTTGTGTTTAAAAATATTTTCACACTCACACTTCTTCAATCTAGGATACATGGACAGCATTGTTTACTTTGAATTATTTTATTGACGATATTTTAAAGCATCACGGAAGACGCATGCGTTGCGGCCAGATTGGGAACGTCACAGTGCACCGTGACGCTTCAATTGCCTGGGGAGAACACTGTATCCTATTGTCTAGGTGGTTATTGTCCAGTGTGGTTTTTGTCCTACATTCCTTTAAATCTCTCAAAAAACAATTCCACTCTAAGCCTCTTAAAAAGACTTTAGCCCCTCTCCCACTAGGGGTTTTTTCAGCATTCGAGTTCGGAAAGCTTGGAGAGAACTCTTACCTACTCGTAGCAGCTCTAAACTTGTGGCGCTAATTTTGAACATGTTCAAAATTATCGCCACGAGTAGATATCTCGTAGTAAACTCGAAGAACTCGTAGGTAGCTCGTAGAGTACTCGGGGTACTCCTACCTAGCTCGGACACTACTCTGGATACTCGTCGGCGGTATTGTCATCTACGAGTTTGAGGCAAGCACCCCAAAATGAGTACGAGTAAATACGAGTGCACCGATTTGGCTCGTATTTAATTCGGTACAAACTTGTTAAGCTCTTAATAATCTCGTAGTTAACTCGGTGCTCTGCTCGGCATAATTCGTACATAACTCGTAACCAACTCCATAAAGTCGTACCTCACTCATAGCTAACACGTAATAAGTTCGTATAGGTCCTTTCCAAAGAGTTTTTAACTCGTAGAAATCGTGCGACTCTTAGGTGAAATAAACCTAGGTGGGAGAGGGGCTTTTGTTTATGAAGCATCGTCCATCCTGTGATTGGCAAGTTACTTGCTGTTTGATTCAATATGTTGTTTTTTTTAAGAAACTAATTTATAATATTCTTTTAACATAAAAAAAAAATCTCAACTTGATAAACACAGTGTGGGTGTTGATGATGAGGTTAGTAATCATCAGAGACTTGCATGAAAGTGATGATTATTTTATTTACTTGTAAAACGAGTGTGAAATACAAGAAGTCAATGACACGTTAAGAAAAAACAATTCCTAGCATGAGTACTGCCTTGTTCTGCATGAACGGTACCAGATGTTAAGAGACAAACGGCGCAAGTAAATCTCTGTGCTGTAATCATGGATTAGTATTCTACAAAGTTTTCAATCTCTTGGATGTTTTTGGAATAAATCATCTGCTTCTGGATTTATCTTGCATATCTTGACAGACTTAAAACCTCTGTGTTGACTGAAGATCTTATTATTTGTGAAATACAAACATACGACTGAAGATCTTATTATTTGTGAAATACAAACATACATATTCTTTGATACAGTAATACATGTTTAATACTATTATGTCATATTTTTACATACCATATGCCCACCCCCTTTCCCTGTCTGACAAGTTTTTTTGGGGTTTTTTTTCTGAAAAACATGTTTAATGAGGGAAGCTCATTGGCTTTGTGGTTAAGATGCTTGCCTTCAAATCCAAGGGTCTTTGGTTTAATTTCTGTCATGGTAACAGGATTTTTTCTCATGACCAAAACAACTTTACTTCCTCAGCCTCATAATGAGACTTAATTTATTAAGAGCATATTGTGTTGTGAAGAGATATGCCACTTAATAAAGTGATCATTAAACAAAGCTCTTTGGCATATCATTGGACCTTTGGCCCAAAAACATTAATAAAAACAACTCTGGACTGTTTTTTTTTTTCTCTTGGCAGATTCAGCCTCGTCAAAGAACATCTTGTGGAGTTCAATCAAGTTGCCATGGCGAATGCCGAGGGATGTGAGGACATGTTAAATCGTGTGATGACGAAAGATAATATTGGCATCATTGCCCTACTGGAAATACGGGAAGGGTGTTTTGATCCTTGTACGTATCCCCACACTTTAACCATTTGCCTTTCTTATATTGTTCTTTATTAGAATTGTTTAGACACATGTTTTATTTATTTATTTATTTTCTTTTTTATGAAGTGTCACCAGTTTGTGTTAGTAGGTGACACAATAACTTAAAAAAAGTGAAATAAGATATCAACGAATGAAAATTTGAATCAATAAAAACAACAATTTTATTTTAGGTGACACTAAAAGGCGAGTGAACAAGATTTCTTCTACTGTAATGTTAAATTGTGTTTCTGTGTCTCTTCAAATCTTAAAATTGCTAAAAGATAAAGTTTGTAAAAGATTAAAGATTAAACTTTTCCTTTTTTCCATTTCCAATATTTTAAATAAGAAATTTGGACTGGGCCCTTGGGGACCTGTGGCAGCCACAGCACAGCGATAGTACCGACATATAACGCATACATTATCCCTTATCCTGGCTAAATCTCGTGCGAGGATTATCTGAGGAGCAGAGCAATCTGACTCCAATTACAGTAAATGCTTGAATAAGCGCTGCAACGCTTACAACATTTTTGGAAGCTTCAGTGCAGTATTTGTTCGACAGCGGCGCTTATAAAAAATATTGTGTGCAGCGTTTATTCGAGCATTTACAGTAAACGACACTGGCTGGGTTTGAACCAGGGTCTACAGTGCTATTTCAATTTTCTTTCATCCATAGCCTTTAGCTCGGAGTCAACTCCAAGACAGCTACTAATGGTAGCGAATGCCCACATCCATTGGGACCCAGAATTCTGTGACGTAAAGCTCATCCAGATTATGATGCTCATGAAGGAACTGAAGAAGTTTCAGGAAGAGGAGTCCCACAGCTTCAGGCCCGGGTCATCGAGCTCGGCGAATGATCAACCTGCTATACCGCTTCTTTTAGCTGGTGATTTCAACTCTCTGCCTGAATCAGGTAGGCTGAAAAAAACGTGGCCCTTAAAAGAGAGCCAACCCCTTAATAGATCAATTCCATTAGTGCTTATTAACACTCTGACCGCCAGGGGTTTGAAAAAAAAATTAGTATCAGCCATTTTTAGCGAATTTTTACACTTTCCCGAAGCTCGTTGAGAGTGTGTATGTCATCAAATTGACATGTAATAAATACTACAAGAACTGCAAACATCTTAACTTTACAATGGTTCCAAACACTTTATTCTAATCACAATCTGTGACCTGTAACCGTGAAATGAAAGTGACTCACTTCTGTTGTTTTACGCATATTCACACAGTAAAGCTGAGATAACACATTAAACTGGTTAAAACATTTTAACCAGTTTAATAAGCATTTAATTTGTTTTCAAAATGCATTTCTTGAGATGTTGCAACTTCATTAAAAGCAATATATAAGTGGAATATAGAAGAACATGAGCATTGACAAAAAATATTAACAATAGCTCCATCATTGAAGCCTTTTAAGTGTATGGTTTCAAATTGCCAGAATGTTTATGCTGGAATATTTTGTTTTGATATTTTTTCTTCTAATTTCTGTAAAATCTGATTTTGATTGTGCACTAGAATGGATAATAGATATGACAAGATATAGCTAATTTGTGTCCTGTATGTTTCAGGGGTGATTGAATATTTGGCCAAGGGTAAGATCTCGCTCAACCATCCGGATTTTAAAGACATGGACTACAAGAAGCTATTCAACTTCAGCAGTAGTCCTGAACAAAACGGTCACATCAGCCATTCCTTTCGTCTTCGTAGGTCCTATGAGAACACGCATATGGAATTTACGAATCACACGTTTGATTTCAAAGGCGTTATCGATTACGTCTTCTACTCCCACGACTACATGTCGCCACTCGGGGTCCTAGGCCCAATGAACTGTGAGTGGTTTGAGAGTCAGAAGGTGATGGGCTGCCCGAATCCGAACGTGATGTCAGACCATTTTTCCCTGTTGGTCGAGTTTGAAATGCCATTAAATTTGAACAGCGGGGTTACTGGTAGCGGAAACAACCACATCGTACTATCACGGCGGTAACGGCCCAAGCACTTCTATATAAGAATCACAGGTTCTTCAATGATAATCTGTACAGTTGTGTATATGAGTTATTTTTATGTCACAGAATTGAATAGTAATGACAGATTTAAAAATAATGACATAATATGATAAATGTCCCATACTACTTGTTATGAAGACTAATTTGTTGTATCTTTAACTGAAGGCTTTGTATCTGATGTTTGATAAATTTGTAGAAAATGCACTTTTGAACTCTAACCCAAGCCACTTTTGAACCCTGACCCATTCTGTGCCACTGTTAATTGTTATCACTTCATGTTTAACATCACACATTATTGTTAAATTTAATTGCTGACAATTTTATTTGCAGAAGTCAATCAAATTTGAGAGAAAATGTTTTTTTCTCTATATTTTAAACTTATTTTTTAAAGTTTCCTCATTGTATTGTTGAATTAAGAGACAATTTCATTTATAATTTTTAGATTACCAAGGATGATAGAAATACCGACCCTTTTCTGAGGGTTCTGTCCGCACTTACCAATTTTCTGGGACAAATACTTGCAATGTGCTATATATATGGGCATGGTGATGTCATATGCCCATATATAAGGGCATATCACAGGTATATATTGCTTGAAAGTTGTTTGTGTGAACAGAATTTGACATTATGTAAAGGTAAATATATTGCTAAGGAGTTGCTCTGTTGTCGCAAAAGTTAATAATGATCATTTTCATCATAAATTACAACATTCCTTTTATATTTTATAGACTTGAATGATAAGTTCAAATTTTCATCTCCACTTGCTGTAAAATTTTCTGAAAGGCTATCCCAGATTATTTGTTTATTCAAATTTTTAAATTGCTTGTTGTGTTTTTTTTTTTTTTTTTCCTGATATTTTAATTTATACAGAATGGGAGGAACAATGGTGTTGGCTGGTTTTGAGCAGTAATTTTACCTAATGGAATGATTAATGATAGATAAATTTAGTTCTGAGTACAAGAATGACTAGAGAAAAAAGTAGGACATCCTAAAATGTTGAAATAAATTAGGACCAAATGTGTGCATTTATAATTTCAATTATCAATTGAAATCAAAAGTTAGATCTATAGAATTAATTGATAGAGCTTTTGAAGCGACCAAGTTTGTTTGATGTAGAATTGTTGTCAGATAGGCCATTACACCTTTTGGCAAGAAATTTCTTGTCTATTTTACCAATTGTTTTATTTACTAGAGTTCCTTCCTTTATTCATCCTTGTGTGTTTATGTTGCGGTTGCCAAGTTATTCAAGTTTTCTTTAGAACTTCACCGATACTCCGCATGTAACAGTAATTCCAAAACCCAGCCATAGTTTTAGAACTCACCCTAGTCCTGTAATACACCAATCAATTATTGGTTGTTATCGATTGTTTGTGTTACTCTAGAATTTTCATTGTTTGTTTTTGCATATTATTATGTACATATGGATTTACACAATGTGTACAAGTATTTGTGTGCATATATGTACATATTTATATGCATATATATCTGCATTTATGTACATATTTTTATGTGCATATATGGATGTGCATGCATATTTTTATGAAGATATGAATATGCATATAATTTATCTTATGTATTGGTGCATATATGTACAAATGTATGGTCTGCATATATGGCTACATACATATGTATATGTACATAGAATTTTTTTAAGGTCAGTCAGTTTATTTGGCTATGGAGTACACTAAATAATTGTGAATTTTGGATTATATGTTTGATGTTGGTTCTGCTTTGATTCAACCAGCCATCATTCATTTTGAACAGTGTACATTACTATTTTTCAAAGGTTGATTTTCTGCCTGTCACAAAAGTATTACTATTTTATAAAAAAAAAAGAGAATATACAATTGTGGCCAGTTTTGACAAATTTCAGCAAATTAGATTTACCAATACTTAGCTAAATGTTGCTTGCGCTCTTGGTAACTGGGTTGGCAGGTTATGCAGCTTATTGGTCCCAAACTTTTTTTTGTATCTGGGGGACATTTTGACTGGGCTGAATTATGGTGAAGTGTAATCATTTATTTGATCTTTGGTAGTTTGTTATTCAAGTTGCAATACGCCTTTGAAGTTTTATTTTTTGGACAATTAAATGGGAACTGAAATTTGATTGGCTCATACTTTCTGGAAATGTCAGTGCTACCCTAGCACATGATAAGATCATTGGCAAAACGGGTGTCAGCCTAGGCTGTGCCTGCTGTCCCGTGGTTTGCTAATAATCTTGTCATAATCATGAGAATGTTATATTGGGATGATGACTTCATCATTTAATCAGTTAGGGGTGATGTCATCAGTTTGTGATGGTGTCTTCAGTTTTGTGATGATGTCTTCAGTATGTGGTAATGTCATTAATTGGTGATGATTTCCAGTTCATGAGTTAGCTATGGTGTTATCTTATGCTGACGATGTAGTATCACAAAACATACGCCAACAAACTTGTCATAAATATGATTGCATAGCAACTGTATTCAAAGTACTCAACTGCTCAGTTGCCATAGAAATTTTCAATGCATTTTTCCAGATTGTATATGTTTAGTAATCAATGCAATTCAATTTTCTCTTCCTAGAGCCAGTGTTTTAATACATGATCCTGTTAGATGTCAAATCTTAAATTTTCCCTAATTTACGCAGCCATTGTGTTACTGTACAGCTTGCTTTTTCAATTCTTCGTGTAATAATGATTCTGGTCTAGCCATGTAGTTAAGTTGATTTTTTAACGGTCATAGACAGGGTCGGAGGTCAGTTTGCAAAGCACCACATTTTAGTTGTCTTGAATGTAGTTAAATCTCTTTGATCAATTTTGTATTTTTGCTTTCCTGAAGCTCTGGCTTTTCTAGGACCTTAGCAAATTTTAATTCAGATTTTGACTAGAATTATCTCTTAGTATGGCTTTTTTATAAAACAAAAACAATGAATATTTACATTGACGGTAACAGAATTAAATCAGTTTCTGGGGCCCATCAATTGTCTGGTTTATATGTGAAAATTGGTGCTTGGCGTGACGAAATGTGCAATTTAAGAAATGGTCCAAATAGTCTTCAGAATTGAATGAACGGCAGCTTATGGATTTTGACATCAGCTTCTACAGCTTTCGGTTCTTGTCAGAATTTGCTGAAATTTTTTGCTGGGTTTTAGTGTTTTATTTTTCCTGTGTAGGCCATGCGTTTTGTCTGTCATGGATAAGGCTGGTTTTATACACTGTCGTTGGCAGTGACATCTTCAGATGTTGAGAGAAGAGGAAACATTCATATGTGCAATTGATCTGACCTAGAAATGAAATGAAGTTTTTTTTTTTGTTTTTTTTTGGAGAGTGAATTTAGGTAAGGGGTGGGGCAAGTGAAAGAAAGGCTACATTTTAATGCTAATTGGCTTGAGTTTTTATTCAGTGAATGTCAATTTCTAGAGTCAAAGTGGATGCTACCTGGTTTAATGGTGGAAGGTATCTTGTGAGCATAGTTCAAAGGTCATGTCATAGTTTAATTAAAACATGACATCATCATTACCATCATCAACAGTTTAGTCCTAAAGTAAGCTTTCTTAGTGTTGATTTCATTCCAATAATGTAACACCAAAGGTGTACAGATGAAAAAGAATATTGTAACATTTAGACTTCCAAATTGTACAGATTTAGGGTTCATCGCAAATAAATGACCTTTAACCTTTGACACTTGATACCAAAGATGCTGGAGTGAACAGCTATTGAAGAATACACTGTCATCATCTTTTGAAACAGTACTAACTTTTAATGATCCTCAAAAATAAGTGACTTGGTTTATGGTAAATTACATTTAAAAAAAAGATAAAAACATCAAGTGGTATAGAAAAATTGATAAAATGTTTTGCATTTGGCTCAAAAATATATTTTCTAAAACTTGTATAATATGATTTGAAACATGGGGAGTGAACAATCTTTGTTGATCTGTTATCTCTTGAGTATTTTTTAAACTTTCTGTTGGGCACTTCTTTTTATTATGCCTAAATCTCACAATTGAAATATTTTAGAATCGAATTTATAGTAGAATATGATAATGTCACTTCTCAGGTGATTACTGTTGTAAAATGAGATTTATTACTTTACTAATGGTCTATACATTCCTTATTAGAATTAACAACAAAAAAAAAGTGTTTTAGAACAGGTTGTAGACACTTCAAAAATGGTTCAGCTGTGTACAAAACCCCTCATCTGGAATGTGATCTCTCATGGTAAAATGAAATGTATGTGCAAGGCAATTTTTTTATCGCATAAAGAATCCTATAAAGTATTCATGTTACTAGTATACATATTTTTGTCATTTTATAAAGTAGGAATTTTACATACTGTACAATTGGAGCCCTGGTAATATTGTAAAAAAAAAAAAAAATATTCGAATTCATATCAAGTGAATTGATTATGAATTATTTGAAAATGAGTTAGAAAGTCTTAATTTTTATCTTGAATTTAATCACAACTGTGTTTCAACCGTGAAGATTTTCACGGTGTTCAACAACGGTTTCCAGCAGCTGGTGGTTATAATTTCCATGAGAGTTTACAATCAACTAACTTGACAAATTTCTAGAGTACTGTAATCTCAACATTTCAATAGCCATTGTGGGACTTATTTTGGCATATTTTTTACATCATTTTATATGTAAATGTGTTATTTATTTGTTATCCCATTTGATGCAATACAAGTGAATCTCAAAACCTTTTTTCATGCAATTCTCACAGGTTTTTATAAATCGTAATCTGTGATGTCTTGAACATTTAATCAAATGCTATGTTTGGGGGAAATCAATTACAGTATTTCCATTCCAGTTATGTCTGATTTACCTAATGTATTTTGAAGCAATCATGCTTAGGTTTTCAATTAGTCAATTATGGTAAACATGCTTAATTTCTAACAATATTATTTTTTACAATTAGACATACAATTTTAATACCACAAATTTAAAGGGATTTTTTTTTTCTGTTAATTTTTTTTTAGGTTTAGCTAATTCTGGCAAGGCTTAATTTACCATAATAAAATTTCTATCAACTAGCATTTTTATTGGTCAAACTTTTTCTGCCAAACTAACATTCTGATTGGTCGAATCCTGGGGAGAAATTAAATTTGGACCATTTTTTAAGCACCTGCCACGATAAGGAAATAAGTTACCATGTTAATGTAATTTTGTTTTTTGTTAATATAAGGTTGGCCTATAGGCTGACGCATAGTTTATGTTGTGGTTAGCTTTCTGTCTCATCCATCCTCTGTACATTAAACAAGGCAATTGTAACATGTTGAAAATAAAGATATGTGAAATGAGCAAGCTACGTCTGTTGGGGTTTTCTTTCGTCGTCGTTTTTATTAACACATTATATATATATATATATATATATATATATAAACCATGACTTGCAGATTCGAAGGGGTGCGGGTGGACAGTCTGCGCAGCATTGCAGAGAGCTCTTCTCGTCATCATTACGTCATTAGTGATGTAGGCATTGGCTGTTAATGCTAATGATGTCGTTTTGAAAGAGTGTGGAATTCACTTGCTAGGAACTTAATACTGTTAATATAAATCTATATTAAAAAAAAGAATTACTAAAAATATATATGAACAATTATAAATAGAAGATGTATGTTTGTGAACAACGGCAACATCAACACAAAGATCTATATTGGCGTTTTGTATCAAATTCATATAGGCCTATTATGCGGGGCGGGGTTGGGGGTGGGCTAGCCTACTGATGTACTGTGTAGCAGGGGACGATGAGGCATAATAAGACTAGGCCTAAGTAGACAGTGCAATTATGTGATAGAAAGTACACTTTCGAAAGAAATAAATTAAAATAAGAAAAAAAAATAACTAAGAATATATTCAGTTGCAGACCGTTGTTTTAAGTATTACCGTATACAATGCTAAAAATGCGCCTCTTGTAGCCTTAGCTAGGCAATGCATCCATGTGCAAAGCAGTGGTATTTGTTTAAATTGTTTATCCATGAAAATTGAAAAAAGCACGTCGGAAAAGTTTGCCTTTCCATGAAAAGGTGACTTAATCTAGCATATGACGTATGCATGCTAACTATATCGTGAGTGTGACGTCACCAAAAAATAAAAATGTTCTATTATAACCAAAATATTGACAACTACAAGGTTTGTGGGCATAAATTCCCTTAATACGAATTAAGGGTAGCACCATCTCCTTGCCATACAAATTACAGCTCCCACTGACGTCTCAGTCGAGAAATACGGGTAGCTGAAGTTTTTCTCGCAAATCTGACTACGAAACCATTTTATCGAAATTTCACATTCCACCTCCGACTCTTGAGTTGTGCTTCGCACACGCCGCTCAGGGCGGCGTTCCGGGAACCCTGCGTCGAGCTCGAAGTCTTTGTCTTTTATTTTTGTGCGAGACGGAATAAATAAAATCAACTATCAAATGGAAGGTTATTTTATTGATGAAAATCAAATTAATTGACTATTGGTTTTAATTGACTCAAGTCTAAATCAAATTTTTAAATCTTCAGTTTTTTTTACATCTTAGGACTTTCGGTATTGCGCCCTCTCTAATTTTCTGTTATTTAGTTTACGTCACTTAAAACATTATTTTTAGATCATTCAATGATCCAATCCAAATTATACTTATAAGACGCATAAGATATCTGTGGACAATATGCCTGCCGCCTATAATCTTGCAAAACAGATTCTATTCAGGTCTTTACAGAGTTTACGGTATTCGTCATCATCATCATGATTTTTGTTACCATAGTTTTCATTATCATTATCTTTATCATCGTCGTCGCCACCACCACCTGGACCCTTTGATTGAAATTCAAGCATCTCGACTAACGCGGCTATTCAATTCCACTCCTACTGTAAGTCATTGGTAAACTTATTTCTTTCCCCCACCAACTCTAGTTTAGTAATCTAGATCATCAACTCCACATTGTTACACAACATGCATAAGCGTTTATTTCTTCCCTAAATAACATTTGTGTTATAAAAAAAGACGAAATACTGTTTCCAGTACTTAAGAGGGTTCTTTGAAATATATATATATATATATATATATATATATATAAATCAAGGTAGCCGTTAACACTGTTAAATCATATATAAATCA